GGAGCCAAGTTATCATCACCGTACAGCATTACTAACTTGTTTTAACCAAGAAATCCCAAACAGTTGCATAATTTTACTATAAACTACTTGTCGCACATTACCAATTCTAAGTAAAAGACCTGTTACCTTTATCAGATTGATTTGATGTTCAGCACAAAGAGCTTCAACCAGCTTCACATACATAGGTTCATCACAATTGGATGCAAGAACGCAAAGATGGGCTTGACGTCTAAAATGGAAAAATTATCAAATAAAATTGGTAAAATAACCTGTTTCCTTAACATAGCTGTTTGGATCAAATTGTTATTTGTAAGGTGTAAAATATGAAGACTGAGGGGATTACAACCACAAAGTCCAAGTCATAATTTTCAATCATTTCCTAATTGTGTTACAGAAATAGATTTTGGGAAGGTGGTATAGAAAGATGAAAAAGAGCTAAAATGTTTCTGTGAAGTTTTATGTTTAATTCACAGAGAAATTTATAATACTAAGTAACTGACTAAATGTAATATGTTTATGAAAATAATAATAATAATTAAATAATAATAATAATAATAATAATAATAATAATCAATGATAAAACCAGTTATCATTCACCAATTCCATTTTAAGTCATTTTTTAACAAAATCCATTTGTTTACCACTCAGAAGTGGGTAAATCTAGCATAACCACTTAGTCATTCAAAGAATGACCTTTAGGTTTATGCTGTTTCTAGCTTGTTTACTCACCAAATAAACTCTTATATACAGGTTTGTCAGACTATCATTGTCACTCATAAAGAGTGAAGGGGTATCCGACTTTCATGAAGTCATCATTCAAACACTGTAGTTCTTATCTTTGAATCTAATATACAATTTGCTGCTCACCTGGCCACTTTCTAAAATTAGTTAGTATGACAGTACATCCATCTTTGCCCTCTGGCTGAAATCTGAAATGCATCCCACTATTAAACTATACCAGCTCAGCCTACCGGCTATTTTCCCATCTTCCCAACTACATTTAATTAATTTATCTGATGGCCAGTTTTATCCTTCTATCATCACTTCCATGTAGCCATCCAATGAACCTACTTTACCTCATCACATACTACTGGCTCTCCTTTCCCCTTTATCCCTCTCTGGATCAAGTCATATGCCGTCTCTGTCCAGAGACCAACCATATGCTCTAGTTTAGTACACATATAAAGCATGTGTGCTTTAATCCATACGCAGACTACTCAAAGTGACCAATTTATACATATAATGGCCTGCAGATCCTTAAAATATAGTTACATGGTCCCAGAAAAATGCATTTCATGTTAGGGAAGATGTTGATGGGGTGTTATTATTGCATCTTGTTACTGAACACAGTATTTTTCGGAGGAGTAAGTAGAAAGCCTGGAAGATATAGCTTCTCTACATTACACACCCTCTTCAAGCACCAAACTGGGCTCAAACAATTAAACGTTTTTAGGATCCGGTATGTACAGAAGAATACAGGTAGTCCGACTTACAACAGTTCACTTAGTTACCATTCATTTACAATGGGATTGAAAAAAGTGACATTACCATTCCCCACACTTATGACCATTGCAGCATCCCCATGATCATGTGATCACAATTTAGATGTTTGGAATCTGATTCATACTTATGATGCTTGCAGTGTTCTGGGGTCACGTGACCACCTTCTGTGACCGGCTGACAAGCAAAATTAATGTGGAAGCGAGATTCACTTAACAGCCATGTTACTAACTTAACATCATTGATTCATTTAACTGCAGCAAGAAATGTTATAAATTGGGACAAAACTCACTTAACAAATTTTTCACTTGGCAGAAATGTTGGGCTCAATTGTGGTCGTAAGCTGAGAACTATCTGTACTGCTGGAGAAGCAGTAACAGCAGCATGTTTTGTTCCCCTTTCCAATATAACTGCCAAAGATTTCTAAATTTCATTCTGGGGCATCTTTCAGGATATTTTGAAAGAAATGAAATGAAAACACAGCAAAGAAAAGGAAGGTAAGACCTTCACCAATTTGTCCCATACCAGGAACACAAGACTGAACCCAACTGAAACTGAATTAAGCTTGGAATTGATGTATCATAACATACTTTACACTAATCACTAACAACACATTTGGGTCAATCATGTCAGCATTTACCTTGCAGTGTAAGGAAGGAAATTTGCAATTTAAGTCCCACATTTAATTTCACCGCACACTGATAACAGAACTATTGGCACAATAGATTTTAACATTTAGAATATGTATGTCTTTAAATATCTTATGATTCTTCCAAAAGTAGTATGCAAACATGAATCTCACACAAAATCAAAGCAATAGGCTGTACAATCCCACCTTCATTTGGAGACAGCCTAATCACTTACTTGTCCAAGGCTTTGGCAGCTTCACGAATTCCACGAGCTAATCCATCATGGATAAGTGCTGTTTTGAGCACTTCTTGAAGGGCGGTGTTGACATCCATTATGCCTCCAGCAGTTATGCTATGTAACAAAATATAAAAATAAGCAAGCTAACGCATGTAACTTGGAAATTCCTTAAAATTTTGATTGCAATTCTAATGATAACCTGAAGCACAAGGATGCAAAAGGTCTAAACAATGAAAAGGATGTACAAGTTCAAAACAGATATGAATTATGAGTACAGAGGAAAATTAAGAGTCCTTTAACAAGTTAGAAATTAGAGGAAAAATAATTTCATACTTTCGAGAAACATTAATGATTTAGACAAGCATCTGGACACAAAACACAGGTCTATGCCGCTTCTAGTCATCAGAACACAAAACTAATTCTGTAAAATATGCATTCCAACAAGCAGGTAGCTAGTGAATATATGTAAAAAAAAACCATCATCTGACGTAGAGGGTGCTGAAGTAAAAGGCACAAAAGTTTTAAAAAAAATCTATTCTGTCCTTTTATTTTTGAGAGTCAGTTTGGTGCACCTGCTAAGGTACAAGCCTAGAAACAGAAGACTGTTGCAGTTCTGCCTTGGTCATGAACAACCAGCTAGGTGACTTGGCCCACAACAACTGTACTTAGCCCATCTCACCTCATAGGTTGTTGTGGGGAAAATAGAGCATTGGTATGTTCATCACTCTGAACTGTATATGTTAAAAAAGGGTAGGATAAAACTCTAAAAAACCCAAACAGACTGGCATTTCAAAGCAAAGTAGAAGAAACTGATTATAATTACTTGAAACTGCTATTTTTTCCTCAATGCTGCTCTGAGTTTGGCTGCAGTTACTGAAAATCTTTCCTAGTGTTTATTTCACCTTAATGATACAGAACCCCTCCTGCCCAACTCTACAGAAAAGTAATGAAAACCTTTCCATCAATGCTTCAAGATTTTAGATGTTTAAGGGAGAATTCAAATAACGCACCACATCTCTGTCCCACGGATAAAAACCATCTGAAGCCACTGTATTATTTTATTTTGCTCACTAGCGATAAAATCTCACATCCAGTTTTTAACCTCACAGCAAATAAAATTAATTCTGCCACAATTAATAATAGTTACAGGAACATTGCATAGATCACATAAATATATTCTAAATATATTTACATGATAAATTTATAAACATGTTTGTACCATCTAGATAAATATAAATGTAGAGATAACCTTTATTATAACCTTTATAATAAAAATAACTTCATTATCACTCTCTCCTGTGAACACACGGGCACATATAACATGAAATGCCTGAACATTTATTTATTGGAACTTGTCAAACAAAAACGAGAATAAAAGAATAAAAATACAATGACAGGGAGAATAGGCATGTTAGGAGTTTAGCAAATTCCATAAGTGCACTAACTCCTATTTAGCAAAATAGGAGTTGTACTGACCAAAGTATGAAGTCAATTTGTGACTGAAACGGTGAAACTTTGTAGCTGAGATAACTGGATCAGGCAGGGGACTCCAGACTTTGACAACTCAATTACAGAAATCATATTTTTTACAATCAAGTTGGTGTGCATAGTCTGACTCCTGAATGCAAAATCACATAACTTAGTAGTATAATGGACTTGCATGGCCACGTAACATCACACTGGTATAATGGGAGTGGGTGTTTGTTAATGCGATTATTGGGTTAGGGATATTTTTGTCTTCACTGTGAGTTGTATTGTGGTGGTGGGGGTGCACTTTCGAGTTCTGTAATCGCAGAATATGTATATGTGTGTGTATATATATGTATGTATGTATGTATGTATGTATGTATGTGTGTGTGTATATATATATATACACACATATATATATATACACACACACACATACACACACACACACACACATATACATATTCTGCGATTACAGAACTCACTGGCGAGCAAAAATCAGAAAAAGAGAATATTATTTTAAGAACTCTTGGGGGGAAGCACTAGGCCCCACCACGTGGAGCAAAGCAATCAAGGAAGCGGATATTATCCAGCGCTCTGTGCATATGCCTAGGACAAGGAAGCACGCGCCGGCCCTCCAGTGGCCTCGTGGACACCGTTCTAAGCATCTCCGCCTCGCGCACACTTACCCTTCCTCGGTCATGGCTGGTGGTAAATGCTCCCTCCCGGAGTTCCTGAGAACAAGACAAAAATCCCCGTTAAACCTTCGGAACCACGCACTCCCCTGTGGCTTCTCCTCCCGCCTTTTCCTCCTCGGCTCTCTCCCCCCTCCCCCCCCGCCCCGAAGAGGGAAAAGAAACGAGTAACCTTTTTTTAAAAAAACAAACTAAACTAAACTAAACTAAACTACAGGCCTAGCAAGGCGCGCGCTCACCTTACAAATTCCACGAGTCGCCGATGAAAAGGAAGGGGTGGAGCCTCCGAGCTCCTATTTAAACCCCCGCAAAGACCCAAGCCCCGCTTCTGAAAATAGGTGTCTGGTTCTATTGCCTGTTTTGTGGCACACGACCGGGCAAGGGTTGAAGGGGTGGGAACTTGTAGGAATTTCAAAGGTTACACAGAACTACTAGACACCATCCTACATCGAAGTGGAAGGTCGCCTATTCGGGCAGCGGGAATCTCTGAATCCCTGAGAGCTTTGCCAGTTAGGTGTCTATGCTAAGTGCCGGAAGTATATCCTCGGACTAGCACCGCACCAGAAAGGCGCGAGTGAGGCTTCTTTTCGGGAGTTTTGATTGGACGATAGAAGCAGTTGCTGAGTGTAAAGGGAATGGTTCTTGCTTAATGTATAAATTAATGGTTACTTGGTTAATGTGTAAATTATCAAGGACAAAGTACATTTCTGTTACTTTGGATCGGAGTTGGGTTTTTTTTTTTTTTTTGGAAAATGAACTTTTTGTTTGCCTTGCCTTGCCTTATTAAAGATCGCCGTAAAAAACACGTGCAACTGAATTGTCTTTCTGATATGTTTCTCTTTCACCCCTCTCACCTACTATGGAGACTAGCCAATAGGTGCATGGTGCTTGGAGGTAAATAAAACCAAGTCGTCACGCAGGTCAACATCTAACAGCTGTCAAATTTTATTTTAATATTCTTATGGTTCTATTTTTGAAAATACATTTGATTTTTTAAAAAAAAAATCACGTTACTCGGTAATAGATAATTTTGTTGCCCTACCATTCCTAATTCTAAACCAGTTTTTAAAATTAGTAAATGCTGCTGTACTCCTTGAGTTACTGCTGAGTGCGAACGCACTCTTCTAAGAAAATTTTTAGACGAAATTAAACTAAGCGAAGTGTTTGGTATGTTCCTCGTTCACAGAATGTTGCTGGAACTCCATACAATGTCCTGGATTTAAAATCTTAGGTTTTTCATTCTGATTTTTCCCAGGAAAATACAGTACTTCTCAAGTGGAAGACAATGCTTTTTTATACCTAACACTAGGTGGCGCTCTTCTTTCCTCCTACAAAGGTTGCTATCATGCAAAAAGGCTGCAAAGCAGTTGCAGCAAATTGTGAAACTTTATGTGACGTTGTTACGTTTCAACTTTTGCTAGGAGGCACGACTGAATATGTAAACATAAACATGTAAGATTCCAATAAAAAGTTTATGAAGAAGTAATAATTTGGAACTCAATGGAGAACTCATTTCAGTAGAAAGTGATGGCTTCAGTTTAATATGGTAATAGAAGTAGTAGAGCCCTATGCATCCTATTTCAAAAGTTGCCCTACCAAAGCAAAAAAAAGTGTTATTTTCTGAGGCTATTCCTGTGCAAATCCACTTGGGTAAAATTTATAGTGATTGTGGATTATTCATTGCATTTAGTGGAATTTGTATAAAATATTGGCTAAGAAAAATGCATTTGTTTATTTCTGAGCATCACACATAAGATCACACAACATTAATGCAGGAAACCTGCGGCAATGCAGTTTTGGAAAAAGCTCAAATGAGTAACATTTTAAAAAGTAAAGGAGTCAAAATTTTAACATCACTTCTGAAGCTGAGGGCATTTTTACTAACGTTGATTGCCTGAATTTCAAAATAACACATACATTTCTTCATCCAGAGGGTGCTTGTTTACAGAAGACTGACAGACTTTAACAGCAGAGAGATAAATATTCACAAGTTAAAGATACAATCATTCTAAATATTTTAGTAAGTTTTGACCAACTTTAGCTTCAGTTTTGCAGAGTGCAGTGAAAGTAGACAAAGGTGGGTTGGATACCACATGGAGAAAGATTTTGGTTGGGTGTAACCTTTGGCTAGAAAGAATCAGAATTTCTCCTCAACATCAGAAGTAGTGAAACAGGAAATAAAGAAGAAGTAGTAGTAATATCTTTGGCTTTGTCTGGAAGTTAGCAGCTTTGGTAAGAAGTTTTATTTTTTCTTTGTTTCTTGTCAACCTGCTGTGATCTACCAAGTACTGGAAAGGTTAGTGACTGATTGATGATTATTTATTGTTGAACATAGGGTAATGGAAATGATTTGAAGATAGAAATATATACATATTTTCACAGAGCAAATTTTGTTTAAAACATATTTAGACTCTCCTCAGGTTTATGATTTGTGAGACTTATGATTATTCTAGGCATCTTGTTTTCCATTGTTGGAAGAAATGTCCATCTGGGTTCAGTTCCAAGTGGGAAAAAAGACACTGGAAACATGGGGACTGCTTGGAAAGATGGTTTAATGGTGGACAGGATCACATGGTTTGAGATCCTGGGCAAAAAGGGAAGAGATTCTGAAAGTGCCCAAGTTTTATGCCCTCTCTGGGCTTTTGAATTTGATTGTATTCTGATTGTTTGTTAGTCTCCCATGGGGCCATGCAGGGGTAACTTTGCAGGTTTGTCAGTGTCCCAAGCTTGGTTGAGCCTTGCTGGGTGATGTAATCTTCCCAGGTGCCATGTGGTGAGTTGTGTTGCTAGATGGGTAGAGGGCTAATCCTACCTTTGTTGGATCTTGGGTGAGGCAGTTTGCCTATGAATAGACCTAGCTATCTCTTTATCTCTTAAGTGTGGACATCTGCTGTTGGGCTATTGAGAGGGTGGGGGCTATTAAGAGTGAGTCTGCTTCCTGCCTAAAAAAACATGTTTCTCCATTTCTCATCCAGGGAAATATAATATTCTGCCTTTTTATATTTCCTAGACTAATTCATTTTTCTAGGAGAGGGGTTGGTGCTAACTTGCTACACCATATAGAGATAACATGAAATGTCCCAAATATGGTACATTAGTTTAAGTACAGAACTGATGCTGGAGGATTCTCTCACTTCTTATCTATCCTATAGGATCATTCTGGGAAAAATGGAGGTAGCAACACTATCTATGACAGGGCTGTCAAACTCGCAGGCTGGATGCGTCACACACTGGCCACACCCATGCCCGGTTTAGTGAAGAGGAGGAAAAGTCACAATACATCACATGAAGCTGCTATGACGCCTGGAGTTTGACACCCTTGATCTAGGACATCTTGTGCTCCTGCAGGAAAATCAGGATTTGAATCTAATAAATCAACATATTTGCTGGATTTACATGATTCTCTGAAACACAAACTAGCAAATCACATTTAATCTATTATGCAAACTCAAACCCATATGATCAGTTAATATGGTGCGGTTTACTATAGGAACCAAGAAGATTTGTTATTTTCAATAAGTCATAATTGTTAACTATGCATAAGCGTGTCTGGCAAACATAGCCAACATTTGGGCTGGTACATTGAACTGAAAGTGGCTAGTTTAGTTTCTGACTTAAAATATTAAATGAGCATGTTGAGGCTAGTAAAACAGGCTTTGTGACTTTAATCAGTTGTAATTTATTAACTACATTTAGGTAAATAAGCCATAAATTCACATACATGAATCCATCTATTAAAATGAATGGCAGAAAATGCCCATTAAAATGCAAGTCCCTCACCAAAACACCTTGAGCAATCATAATTTACTCTAAAAAGCATTTGGAAGAATTTAGATAATTCTTTTTATAGTTTTTTATTTTTCATTTTCATAACATATAATCATATACATATAATGTATACTATTACATAGCCAACATCATATTATATTATTAAACGTTTCTATCAATTCATCTTACCATCAACTCCCCAAAAGAAAAAGGGAAAAAAACCNATATTTGTTCATTCACTTTCTTCTCCCTCTCTCATCCCCCTCCCTACCTCCTTTCTTCTCTCTGTCCTCCTTCCCTTCTCTACATCCCCTACCTCTCCCCTACTACTCTCTCCCCTTTCCACTCCTCATTTCTCTCCTCCTCTTTAGATAAAGATTTAGATAACTTTAATATGCCATAAATTATGGCTTACTGACCACCGTGGCTTGAGTTCAATACATTAACGTAAACCATATTACAGTATAGTGTAAATATATAAAACTAAGTGCATTTCCAAACGACCCCTAGAGTACAATTAAGGTTCGGATATTCCATATGTTTCTTTCTCATTTACTTAACCTTTTGGTTGATATCAAAAAGCAAAGCAGGACCAAGGGATTTTTAAGGCAAACTGGGAAGTAAAGAAAAAGAAGAAGAGGAGGGGGGGATTAAAATCCGGAAGAAAGCAATACCGGCTGTTATAAATAAGACTGCAGAGAAGAGCATAACTCGACCTTTTATCCTTAATTTCCAAAGGGCGCTGAAGCGTGCCTGGGACGTCGTCATAGTAATAAATCTGGCTTGCTGACAGGTGAGTAAATATGAGATAATTTCCGATCTCAGCGGCTAACTTAAAAGGAGGGATCCCAGCCTTGGGTAGATTTCGGCTTCCGGCTGAATCGGAATCGCTTTTTCCGGACGCTTAGGAAGTTGCTGACCGCGGCAGCTGAACTTTATCGACTCTGTGAGGGTGGACCTCGAAGAGACAGGCAGGGGGGTTCAGCCTCCGCTCCTTTCCAAGCCGCTTTACAACAGGAGCTCCGCGGCTATGGAAAGCTACCAAGCGATGGGTCCCCCGGATGACGAGAGTCCAGGTGAGGGGGGAGGCAGAGCTTATTGTCGGCATTCCTGGGGTAGTTTTCTCCCCTCCCCGCAGTGCTCTCATCGGAGGAATGTCAGTCCGGAATTACAAACAGCCCCTGTGCTCTCCACATGTTTGATCATATGTAAGGCTAGTGGATTTTAACCGCTCTATCCTTAGAAAGAGGTTATGCAATGGTATTGATTTCTGGTGAGTGCCTAGGTTTTCTTGCCAAGTCCTCTACTTTCCTTGGCAAGGCTTACTAGTTTTCGTGGCAGGGCAAGGTTTCATTGCCTCCTTCCCAGGAGTGACAAAGCGACTGGACCAAGGTCAACTAGCTGGCTTTGTGCAGAAGGCAGGGCTAGTATTCACTGTGTCCTGGTTTTCTAAGTTAGTGCCTTAACCACTACATCAAACTGGCATACTTACAAAAATTAGCCTTGTAAACTGAATTTTTGAAGGTCATATC